TCATAGCAGGTAGTAATGTGATCAGCTAGGCTCCCAAAGGGAAGGTTGATGAATGGAATCAACCTAAGGTTGACGAGAGTACACCATCAGCCATTCCAAATGTCAAGGCTCTCATACAACACGGTTGCTACCCTGAATGGAAAGGTATTAACCGAGGTAAAATTAAGTTTTTTCATAAAATAAAAGTCCAAACTCTATTTTCTAACAGAAGTGTTCAAGAGAGATTCATTTCTTATCAAGGTAAAAGAATTTCAGGATCAAATCGGTCAGATTACCAGAATGCTTCCAAAATGCTTGGCCAAGAGTGGTATCTAATCCTCAGCTAGAACCATCATTGGCTGAGAGAATTCTTTTAGTTCTTCGACCTTAACAGAATTTCAAGAAAAGAAAGCGGGGATGGAAATTAAAAAAGGTTAAGTTGAAGAGAAATCTATGGAAGAAAATAAACCAGCCATTTGATGAAAAATTTTACGTGGCCGATGCAGTGCTACACAAAGATAATCATGTTTTGTTCAAAAGAACAAATAAAATGGGGTGACCAGCATCGGCCACTATGAAAAGAAGTTTGGCTGATGTTAACTCTAAAAAGTTAGTCAGAAAGGTATTTTGGCCGAGGATAAAGCTTCATCGGCCAGTTGTTGAAGTGCTAAATAAAGAATCAAGAAAGAGCCAGGCCATCATGGCCGCTGACATTCTGAAAGCTTACTCGGTTGAGAAAAAATTGGCCACAAAAGAAATAATATTCTCGGTATTTCCAGCTGATATAGCTGAAATCATTAAAGAAGATGACTATTTAAAAACATGGGATAGCATGCTTTCAAAAGCTTTATAGGAGTATAAAAATTCAAGAGGATCAACCATCAGAAAAGCTCCATACTGGCAGAATGTTGTTCTTCCAATAGAGAAGCTAGTTAGATCGGCCCAAATGACATTACATAATAACCTGATCCCGGCCGATCACGATCATGCCTTACTAGTTGAGTTGGGAAACTTCAATGGTGAGGTTTATCATGGATTTATGAATGGCGGATACCTTGAGGGGTATCAACCAGCTTTGTGGGAATAATGGAAGAATTAGGATCAGCCAGTCCTAGCTAATGCAAAATAAAGACCAACTTGAGGTGGTTCGGAAGAAATAAAGTTTAAAAACTCGTAGGCTGCCAGTTTCTTTTCAATACATTTTACAATTCCAAAAATCTTATCGACCTGAATGGCCGATAAAATATTTGAAATTTGGGGGGCATTTGTTGGCACTAAAAACTGGCAGTCATCTTAGCGATGACGTGGATGAATTAAATAGTGACAAGTGGCTTTGACATTGCGCCAAAAAAAGGTCACTATGGAGACAATGTGAAGAAATAAAATGGATTGCACTTGGGGCTGCTATAATTATGGAGATATGGCTACCAAGTTGACAAAGAAGTTGCTATATTTAAGGAGTGTGAAGTTGACTTATTCAAATAAGGTAATATTGTGTCAGCAAGAGAAGTGTAATGGGCCTGATACATTACTTCAAAATAACAACTAAAGGCTTCAGTTAAGGGTAGTCAAAGATAAGGGATGACATGTGTCATGCAAGGAGCAAATTAGGCTACAATTTGTTGGCCTAATTTAATTTCAAAAAGGAAGGAATCAAGGGCAGCAGAGATTTTCTAGCAAAAAGTTAGGAAAATAAGTTGAGAGAAAATTCTATAAATAGGAAAATTTGTATTCTTTACAAACTGTCCAACACCACCCACAAAACAGCATGAATAAAAAATTCATCAAATGACTCAACGTCATCTTATCTTCAATTCTTTTATCCAAATGGTATGAGTTCCAGTAACTTATCATTCTTTTTGCAATGTCTAATTATGCTATTTACAATTTATTCATTGTTTTATACAAACGAATTTAAATGACAAATCTTTGATCAGATTCATGTCACTTTAATTCGGCCTGTTCATTCCATTGCACCATTACTTTTCAGTCTATTTTAATTCGGCCAGTTTACTTTTCAATCCATTTCAATTCAGCCAGTCATTTATTTTAAATTGCGTTTTTATTTCTTTTAACACCTTTATAAAAAGTCCTTGTAAACAAGGCACAAAAAGAACCTTGATGGGAGTTCTTACTAGTCTCTCTCCCACACATTCGTCTGAAAGTCAGTCACGGAAAAAGGGATAGGCTGGTGGTCATTTCATAATTTTGGGTGTTTTATAAAAATACTCTGGCACGCCCAGTAGAGTCCATCGACTAGCGTAAGACCAAAAAACCGCGCGAACAACTTGTATATGACTTTTGGAGAAATACAAAAAGTTTAAGGTCAGTAGTTCTCCTTTACAAAAGAAAGTGTCTCGATCTAACTTTTAAGGAATAAGTTTGGCATGCGTTATTATATTATTTTTTTAGTATTGGTTTTGGTATTTAAATTTGAACTCATATGATGTATAAAACGACTGCTATTGATTTGAAATAGTTCATAACATATTAGATTTTTTTATTCAAACCTATATTACCAATTTGGTGATATTGCGTGTTTTAGTATTGTAGCAAATGAACTATAACAAAATTTTCGAATTTCTCAAAACAAATTTTCGTTATCAGACATAATTCTAATTTTTATCCAAAACACTCATACAACAAAACAGCTATTTGGGTATTAACTGAAAACATAATGCCTAAAACACATCGTATGCTAAGCGGCCCTAACTACGTATTATTTTTATTATATTAACAGTGAATGAATTACCAAATTTACTTTTATTGGATCCATGGTGACATAATGGTTTACTTTTTATAAGATTAAATTGGTAATGTTATCACAATATATATATAGTACATTGATTTTTTAATTTTGGAATGGATAAAAATAAAAAGTTAGACATTTATTTCGGGACCGATGTCTTTTTATAATTATCTCAAAACAGTTTTTTGTTTTCTGAATTTTTAAGAATTGTTTTTAAAGTTACAAACCAAACAAACTCTGAAAACAGTTATGAAGGACTCATAAAATAAAAAAATTATTTTCAGAGAATTATTACAAATTATTTTGTGACTTTGTTTTCAGAAAACAGAACCAAAAACATTACTTGGTTCAGTTTTCTGAAAACTCAGTTATAAAAATGTCTGTTTTCGAAGAACTGTTTTCATAATTACAAATCAAGCAAAACCATAAATTTAGTACAATTTTCTATTTTTAATTTTTTTAAAAAAGAAAATTATTTTCAGTTTATTGAATGTTGAAATTGGAACAACTCACTCGTTCTCTCTGGGAGTGATTGAATTTAGAAAAATTATTTTATGTCAAAGATAACTAGTTGACTGATCGAACCATTAGTTTAACTAATTGAATAAGACACAATGGCAAACTAATTGATCAAACAAAAAGTGATGACTTAAGGGCCGTTTGGCATGCGTTTTGCTTTAGGCGTTTTGTTTTTGGTTAAAACAGAAACAATGTTTTTGCTATAGGAGTGTTTTGGCAAAAATCGGAAGTACGTTTGGGAACGATATTTTGCTGTAAAAATGTCGGAAACAGAAACATGTAAACATGTTTGGTAAGCCATGCGTTTCAAAAATTTTGAAAACAAAACATGTTTGGTAACTCCAACTGTTGTGAAAAAAAATAAAACAGAAACAAAAAAAAAAACATGTTTGGTTATCATTATTTTTAATTTATTTTTATAAGTTTTAAATATATTTATAAATTTATTTCTATATAAATAGTCATCATATTTTTAATAGAAATATATATAACCAAAGAGTAATTACATAAGCAACTGCTTTAGCGAAAATGTAGAATGTTAGTTCTAGTAATTGAACTAATAATTTCAACCATTTTGCATATTATCTTGATCTGAAACTACACTTCAAGTTATTTGAGGTATAGCTTGTTCCTTTGGTGATGATTGTCCATAGGTTTGTGTTTCTTTCATTTGCTCATTTTGCGCATTAGCGAAAGAAGAAAAAAAAAATACTACATAGCTCTGATAAGAATTTCCGACTCTTATAAGTCTGCATTGGTGGGAATTCAACTCCAGAATACCGACTCTTGCCTTCTTTTCTGTAAGGAAATGTAAACCCCCACCAAATTAGAAACACATCTCTTTTGCTACAAAAAAAAAGAAGAAGGAAGAGATATAAATGAATGAAGAAATCCTTTATCTGTGCAAAATCTTGGTTCCCATTAATTGTACTACAAAATTCTTATTTTTTCCCATCCCGAGACCAATGTTTTGGCATCAACTTGAGTCTTGATGACATGTAGAGTTCCATCTTTTTACCGTGTTCTTATTAAGATCACCTTTTTCATTTCTAATCCATCTATTTGAAGTCAAAGCACCCTACTAGAATGGAAGCTTGTAAGGAAGCTTCTCAAATCATACTCATTCTTTTGTATTAGGAAAAATGACAAAGAAACTGAGAACAAATTAAACAATAGATTAAATTAAACAGTAGTAGGTGACATGGGACCAAGGAAAAAGAGGTTTCCTTGTGTCTCCCTTACCTTTTAAAGCATCAAAAGGTCAAAGTTTATCGCACATGAGATATAATTCAAAGTTCAAACACAATTCACTTCATTGTTTACAAATTTCAACAATAGGATTAAAAAACGAAGAAAAAGATGCTTAACAAATAAAAAAATGTTTCCTTATGTTTTCCTTAACTGTTAGGAATGTATCAGAAAAACGCAGAAGATCTTATAGGAGACATATTTCAAAAAACACAAATTTCACTTCTATGGAACAAACTTTAATAGTAGGACACATCATCTTCATAACAGCACACATCACATTCAAGAGAGTATCAACACACTTCATATCTGCAATGGTAGCATTTAAGTTGAAATATAATAATAATAATAATAATATCAACCAGTAATAATAAAAGCAAAATAGTAACAGCAAAAATGATATATATATATATATATATATATATATATATATATATAACAAGCCCACAATAGTAACAAATATATTACATATAAAAGAAAAAACATACCATCACTTTCAGGAAGATCAATAGTGCCCAAGAGAATTCCAGATTCGATCAGCAATAGTATTACATAACTGATCCATTTCTAGACGCTGAGCCGGAGGCACATGCTCAACAATCTCATCGTCTTCACCATCACTTTGAGGAAGATCGTCACCATCAAATAAATCATCAGGCTGATGCTGATTTCTAATGAAGTTATGTAATGTGCAACAAACCATTACAATCAATACTTGTGTTGAAAACTTATAAGGAGGCATTGCCTTCAAAATAGCAAATCTCATCTTCAACAACCCAAAGCATCGCTCAATTATATTTCTCAAAGATGAATGCCTATGATTGAATACTTCCTTCCGACCACGGGGTGGTCTACTCCTACGGTATTCGTGAAAGTGGTAAGTAAGACCTCGAAATGGGGCCAAATAACCAAGCTTATTGGCATACCCTGAGTTCATCAAATAATACTTACCTGCCATGTTTAGAATACATAAAGATATATACACTATAATAAACTAGCCATACATTAAGTGAATTTGTACGATAATAATACCTAGTGGTGGAGCTGGAAAGTTCATTGCCTCATTCTCAATATACTCCTTTAGGATTCTCGAATCATTAGCGGAGCCTTCCCACCCAGCTAACACATATGTGAATCTCATGTCAAAGTCACATACAACCATTACATTTTGTGTGGTATGACCATTTCTACCACGAAATGGAAGTTGTGTAGCTATTCGCAGAGTTGCAGGAATGTGGGCTCCATCTATAGCTCTCACGCAAATCTTGAAGTAAGGTTAAAACTTAGAAGACCCTTTAATCTTATTTCGAATCATAGAAAAATCAAGAGGGACAATGATATAGGTGCCCAACTGACATACTGCATTCAACACAGCATGGAAGTGTCTGGAAATGGTTTCAGTGGAGTGTTGAAATCTCTCTTCTACAACATGATTCCTTTGATTATGAGCTAAAGTAAGCAAAAAGATTACCACTTGTTCATATACAGTTAAAATTTAGAATCCTTCAGCCCTATACCTTTCAGGGTACTACACAATGTTCTTAAAACTTTAAGGTACATCCTTAAATTTTCGTAACATCTTTCTCTATGGCCGTTTAGAATCTCCATAAGATACGCTTCCCCTTGTAAAATTGAATCCCTACAACGGCTTTTTGAATAGAAGTTCTGCTCTTCTAAAAGAGCAGCAAATATTAAAACACTCTCATTGTCCTCCTCATCGTCATATAATTGAATTATTCTTCTTATATTGTTCCAGATGTCCATTACTCTATTTAAAGATTTAATACAAACAAAGCATTTAAGTTAATAAACAAAACATTTAAATAATAAACAAAGCATTTGAGTAGTAACAGGCATCCAAAAAATAAAAGTATTTAAGTTATTACAGTCATCCAAATGTGAGATAATAAAAGTATTTAAGTTATTACAGTCATCCAAATGTGAGATAGTAATAAGTTAAACGATGACACAAAACACAACCATCCATAAAGAAAGACTCAAACATTCAGTGCCTAACCAATCCTCATTTCCTCAGGTAGCGAAAGAAAAAATTTCTGCCACTTCTTAGAATCATGAAACAACTTCGATACTTTAGCGAATTGGGCCATCTCAATTTTAGGTATTTTTTGTAAAAGGAGCATGCAAGCATCAAACATTTCATCATCTCTATCCTTTTTAGAGGGAGAGAGAACTTCATCATCTCCTTTCTCACATGAAGATACACGAGTAGAAGTAGAAGATGTTTTAGCTGCTTTCTCTATTGCAGCTTCAATTTTCGCAATTCTCCTCGCAGAATTCTTATTCATGTTTGACAAGAGTGCAGCCATACCGGGAGATAAACCATTTCTTTTGGCTTTCTTACCTTTACGTAAAGGTGGGAGATTGACCTGACAACCTTCTTCCTCGTCATCGTCATCATTGGGAGTGGACAAAATGATTGCGGGGGGTACTGTAGTGGACGGGTGGGCATGCATACTTGTTGCATATGTGTCCCCAAATATAGTCGACATCTTGTCAAAATGCTTACATCCATGCCTACGAAACTTATTTGCACCCGTAACAACCTACAAATTTTGTTACAATATTAACCTCATAACAAATAATATACGAAATTTTATTATTTATTTAAGACTAATAATTAAATTACTAACATTGCTCAACCTGTCCCATCTCTCTTCCTCAACTATAACCATGCCCGTCTCATGATCATATCCCACGTCAGTCTCCGATAATAATTTCTTAAACTCGAAATAAATTTTCCGCAATTGGTTAAACTTATTCCGAAGTTGGGTTAAACTAATTTTTCTCCCTGTTTGAACCTTCATTTCTTTTACCAAATTATTCCAAACACTTTTATTATATGTTGTGCCAGTACAATTACAGCCCTAACTTTTTCCTCCATAATATTCACAAATTTTTCATCGAGTGAGTCATCCCATAATAATTTTCCATCATTCGTAACTTCAGCCACCCCTTCTCCTTCAATTATGAGATAATCACTGCATTGTTCCACATTCATATCTATCTAACATATTAATAACATTATAATTAATACAACAAAAATAATATAATTGACTAGAATATATAAACTAACCTATTAATGTTCAAACATTCACTTAGACAACCCACTTAAACATTAATGTTCTAAATTAAACATGGATTGAACTGCAACCACTATGTTCACCCAAGTGAAAAGCTAGTCATAATAAACTACTGTAAGATTCAGTTGCCTCGTCATTGTGAAAAAACAAAGATTTAAACAACAGATTCATGCAAGCAATCTTCAGCAGAATTTACATCATAAAATAAAAAATAAAAGGAAAATATGTGTTTGTGTGTGTGTGTGAAGCATTATATATTACTTTTGCTTATCCACTATAGCTTTTGCTTTGGAGCCGCTTTATGAAAACAAAGCACGAGAGCGAAAGGAAATGATCAAGATGCAAAGAAAAATAATCTCCATGAATGATGGTCATAAAGAGATGGAGTAAGATGAGAAAAAAATATCAAGTCTTGGTCTCATGCCCACATATTTACTGTTGCTATTTCAGTCTTTTTTCTTTTTTCTTATTTATTTATTTATTTTTAAATATTATTGCTTTATAAGAACGACTCATGATGCTTGAAAACATGTGGATCAAACATGAAGGCCTGTCTGGGTTAAAGCAATTTTTAGAAACGAGGGTAACGATGACAAACAATTAATGGTTGAGAAATGTGATTGCAGGCCAGCTATTTAAGGTACACCAGAGATCCTTGCAGAAACACCAAGAAAAATTTCCAGCATATAATGGTACCCACCCTCCATTTAGTCAAATGCTTTGCAATGTTCCTTCTTTCTTATGAATTCCCCAACACTAGCTATACAGCTTCCTAACAAATTAATTAATAATTATAAGGTGTATAATATAATAGTACATACCATGAGTTGCCAATTATAGCATCGATTGGTGTTTTTCCACAATGCACAATCTTCCAGCGCCTTATAGTTAAGGTTTTGACCAATTAATTAAATTACAAAAAAAAAAAAAAAAATCCTTTATATTGGTTTCATTTGAAAAAGAACAATACTTGTTAGAATGTCATGTGTTCAATTTGAATTTTAAATATAAAAGAGGAAAAGTTATAAAAAAATTAACACATTCTCTGTTAAAATTCTCTTAAACCTTTCAGTATACCCCAAGTTTTTCTTCATGCATAAAATCTAAATGTATCCCAGGCAGTCAAGATCTACTCTGATTTTTTTATTTTTTATTTTTTTCATCAGAATACATATTGTGAAGAAAAAATGTCAATTCATATCCATATCCATATGTTACAAAACCACCCAAAACAAATCCATGTGTTACACTGAATCTGATCTAATCAAATAGAAGGACAATTTGACAAGGATTCCAAACAGAAAATTTCAATTAGGACTCTACTCAATAGAACAATTGAATAATAGTAATACTACAGAACAATACTCATGCAAGCACTCAAAATCGAAATCCCAGTGTAACTAACAACAATTAATTCCAACTACGGATATGGATCTGGGTTTAAAATCAACAAAAAATTCAACCAAAACCCAAAAATGAAAAAATATAATCTCGATTCAACTAAAACCCAGAAATGGAGAAATTGAAAAAATAAAATAAAATAAAATAAAAATAAAAAATCAACATCGCTATGAAAGAAAGTGCAAAATAGAGAATAATTTAAGAAAGGTACCATAGGGCGGCTGCTGCTACTTCTTCCTTCAGACGCTGAATACAGAGAGAGAAATCGCCTCACACAACTATAAGAAAGAAAACAAATCACCTCACACAACTGCAAGAGAGAAATCAAATCGCCTTTAGAATCAAAGAACACTTGTAATCACACTATTACAAGTATTTTAGGGCTTCAAAGAACTTACAGTCAATATCACGAGGTTCGTTTTGGTCGCCCCCCAAATCGCCAGACATCTAGGGGTTTTAGAGGAGAGAGAAAATATCGGGTCGAATGTTGCAAATGGCTTTTAAACTTGTTTCCTCCGCTACAATGTTCGACATAACTTACTTCCTCTGCTACAATGCTTCTATTGGGCTAACAGTATTGAAACAAGAAAAAACACCATTTTGGTGTTTCACTTTTTGGCCCAAATTTTGAAAATGTTTTAGTACTGTTTAAAACAAACAACAGCTACTAAACATGTTTTGGGCCTGAAAGGAAGCCCTGCAACAAAAACACCTAAAACAAAACAGTTACCAAATAGGCCTAATCGAATCATATCCTAGATATGAGTTTCTTAAAAAGATTCAAGGTTTCTTTGCTTTCAAACATGTTTTAATTTTCTGCGACTATAATAAAGTAAGGTTTATAATTTGGAAGGACAAGTTTTGGAAATGGATAAAAAAATATTGAGTCTCACAATACTTGCGATTAGAACTTTTTAGACCAAAAACTCGCCGAGGAGTAAATATTGGGTAAAATTATTACATGGTTCCCGTCTATTGATACATAATCAAAAGGCTGGATAAAGCGTCAACCAGTGATTGGTCCGGGACCATATAATAATTTCTCAAGCATTGGGAAAGTCACCCCATGAAAATCAACCGTATCAATTTGTTGAGAGCATTTCTTCATAAGTGGGACCAATTTGTGTATGCCCGGCTCACCCAATATCATCTCCTAACACAGGCCATATTGTGACACCTGTCATGGGTTCTTGCAACAGGAACACAAGCACGCAAGTACCAAGGACAGGAAGAAGACCGGTATATATATATATACACACACACACACACACACACACACACATACACACACGCAAACTCTTGGAGCATCAAGCCTCCGTCTTAGACTTAATCAATACTTGTATAGAACTGTAGAGGTGATTGGAGAAATCCAAAGAGATTAGTCTTCTTTTTTTCAGTTTATTGAATGTTGACATTGGAGTAGGTCACTCTCTCTCTCTCTCTCGCTCTCTCTCTCTCTTTGGGATTGAAATTTAGAAAATTTATTTTACGTCATCCATAACTAGTTGACTGATCGAACCATTAGTTTAACCAATTGAATACTATCAAACAAAAGTGATAACTTAATCAAATCATGCCCTAGAGCAAACTACATATAGAGTTAGAAGCAAGGACTCATCAAGTTTGTTCAGAATTTGTTTCACACGAGCTTCTTGAAAAGATTCAAGGTCTCTCTTGGTTTTAATCCTTCTGCAACTATAATAAAGTAAGGTTTATAATTTCGAAGAACAAGTTCGGGAAAAAATAAAAAATAAAGTGCTGAACCCATTTTACCCAATCTCATTCGGGTAAGATCCAATTTATTTTATTTTCCTGATCTCTTTAATAAAAGAGGACATGTTTTCTTTTCATTGGACCACATAAGCGGTGAGAATATATTGCAAATTCTTACCACTGAGGACCTAAGTATTGTCCTATATATATATATATATATATATATATTTTTTTTTTTTTTCTCGTCTTTAGAAAGCTCAAACAAACCTCCACAAATACCTCTAAGTTCAAACACTCAACCTTCCCTTTGGGGAAGAAAAGTCATACCGTTTGGGCTAATGCCCATGGGTGATATGGTTGATTATGATATGAGTTTCGTGTTATTCTCATTTCAATCTGCTGTTGTTACTCATTTCATTTTCAAACTTGTTTGTTTACAAAGTCATCGTTCTAGAGGCCTAGAAAATATTAGGGGAAGGGGCATCCTTATTTCCCAGCATTTTTTCCTAACCGGACTGATTGTGTCTATTTAGACCAATCACGTTAATATAAGGATAGTTTGATTCTTCTGAGTCAGAATGTGACTCTAGCACGCCCATGTAAAAACGAATGGAACAATTTTGGAACACGTGAGACCACTGTGTCTATTGAATATTTAATGGAGGAATCAGTGGAGGAAAATCTTCAATAATAGGAAACAACATTAGTTACCGAAAGATTTTCCTCCACTGATTAAAATCTTTCAATAGTGTCAAATACTTCAATCTCATGTCAATCACCAGATCAAGATCCCAAAATCTACCATAACAAGACCCCCGGCATGAAGGTGAGACTAGCAATCACAAGCCAATTTCACCTGACACTAAAAATGGACTTAAAGAGTCCAACGAAAGATAGAACACATAGGAGGTTCACGGTGCCTTAGAGCCTCACCATAACTCCGCCATACACTTGAACAACTCCCTCAACTTTGTCATCGAGGTTCGAACAACATCAGAATAGACCAGTTAGTTGTTTAGGCTGAACCAACACCTATTATGCAGCAACCTGTGGCATCACCAAATTGGTCGCCACCAGTTTACACTGAGACTCGAGAGCCAGCATAGATGCAGCCGCAACAACAAATGCAGGCTCAGCATCAGCCTCAGGTGGTTCCTCAGCCTGCTCAGGTGCTGAATGATAAGAACTTCAATCAATCAACCACTATTAAATAAACAACATATTGGAATGGGTACGAGCAAGTTCACTGGAGACCCCAAATCCCATCTTTCAGCCTCACCTACAGGTAATTCCACACCCAGCGGAACAAGATTATTTTAATAATTTAATCTGTTAAAATGTACCCTTATCTCAACCACAGGTGCAGCGTCAGCATTAGCCCATGTTGGTCAATAGAGACCAAGTCGAGAGTGGGTAAACCAATTTATAAGAAATCATATCCAGACTATATAGACTGATTTGAGTTCCCCAAGAGCTATCGAGTCCCAAAATTTCTAACTTTCTCAGGAGAAGATTTTACTTCGACCACTTAAACACACTGGTCATTTCATAGTCTAATGTGGAAAAGTTAGGTTGAATGACTTTCTTAAAATAAGGCTTTCCCCCAAAATTTCTTTATGGTGACTCTTTTCTCCTGATACATCAGTTTGCCACCAAACAAATGTTTCATTCTCATTTCTATGGAACTGAGCCTACAGAATCCATGGCTGTTTATCTAGGTTGTCTCAACTGCTTAAAGAATCGGCGAAAGCTTATATAATTAGGTTCAAAAAAGCAAGGCACCATTGCCATGCGGTTCTCCCTAAGACCGAAAGTTTAGATTTAAATGGTCTTGATGTTGAGCTTTGCAAAATGCTTGATAAGTATAGTTTAGAGATCTAATTTTATTAGCCTCAAGGTACCTATTATATAGCTTAAAATATGCAGTACACTTTGATCAATCAAGCCATCAATCAAGAACCATTGGAAACAATAAACACTTCGATCGATTGATAACTGTGGAAATTCAGTTTCCTTTTTGAATTAGAACATAGCAAACCCTACTCTCTCTATATATTTCTATTTTGCATATATACACTACTTCAAGGCAGAACATATGCATGCAGAGAATACATATAGAGAGAGCATTATATTGGGTTCTGGTGTGGATCATATTTTTAGTTGCCCTCATAAATCAGTATTGGTGAGTGTTTTTCATTGTTTGTTGACATATATCGCTGTGGACTTCAACTGAAGAGTCTAACACCATAATCATTCCAATTAATCAAAGACTGATTTGGACGACTAGCGACTGAAACTAAATCACTGGTTGGAGAAGCAGATTCGACAGGAGCAAACTCGGTTCATAAGCGGATCATGTGCTTGGAGACTCACAGAGAATTGGTGGGTTGATCTGTTTCATGGAGGTAACCAGGGGATTCTAGGACTTTGGAAACTGTTAACTTAGGTTGTAATCCTTCTTTTTCATAGTGGATTCAGTTTGCGGGGGTTTTCACGTAAAAATCTGTTTCCGTTGTTGTTGTTGTTGTTTTTTTTTTTTTTTTTTTTTTTTTACCATGTCAAGAAACACACTCACACACACCCACTTATCTCAACGGGGACTTGAACCCTCAACCTTCTACATTAGAAGGAAGTACCACTAGGCTACAACGTGGATAATGGATTGAAATTGAAATTGTTATTTGCATGCGTGGATAATGGATTGACTAGTTTTTAATTTCTCTATTATTATTTGAATTTCAATTTCCATTAAGTTTGTTTAAATTCAAAAAGTAGTTAAAATTAGCTTATCCAACTTACAACACCTAATCAACCCCCTCTAGGTCTATATCAAGGGCCTTGCACGACTCTCTATCAGAGCCTCGAGTTATCAGTCCTATGAACTTCCAAGTAATGCATTTATTTATAGATTGTCTTACAACAAGATATTGGTACAACCAGTATTTTTAGTACGAGAGGAAATGTTGGGGATCAAAGAAATTGAAGTGGAATTAACCTCAGAAAGAAGAGAATTAGAGGAAAAGAAAGAATGACAGCTTTACAGAAGTTAACCCCAAGGACATACCAATCTCAGTGGAAGAACAGAGCATTGAAATTATCTGGCCCTGGAGCTTTGCAATCCTTTAAGGGAGACGAAAGTGTCCAGAATTTCTTGGTCTGTGATGGTAGCAATCAGGTTTTGACCCAGATACTTGGAAATGGGGTTAGAAATAAATTGTTGGACAAAATTCAGCAAGTTACTATCAATAGAAGCAGAGTACACCAAAAGATGAGGGAGACGTAGTGAGATGTACTATCTTTTTTCAATAAAGAAGATTCAATTGGAATGCTTTCTGTAATTGTGTTTTGATCCACCAACTGGAACCATTTGATTCTAGCCTTTTGTTTATAAAAACTCCCCTCTACTTTGTTGAGCTGGATAAACTGGTTTAGGACAGTTTGCTCCTTAATTATGAGCTCATGGGATGTAGGACTAGCATCAATCCCTAGCAGGATGTTGTACAAGTCCTCAGCTTTAGTCCTCAGTTTTACTTTGGAAGATTATCAAAACTGTTTTTGTTGAGAACTTTAAGCTCAGCTTTAGCCAACTTGAGTTTTTGGACAAGTTGAAACATGGGGATACCTTCAAAGTGAACCTCCCAAGCCTTTTTAACATTAGGCTTGTTTCAGGGTATCCATCCTTATGTAAGAGTGTGATAGACAGCTTAATGTAATTGACTGCTAAGCTTTAGATATCGCATTCAGACAATGAAGCACATGTCAGATATCAAACTAATCCTATAGAGTCTCATTTAAAATTTATTAAATGCATTATTCACTATACTAATGCTTGTAGATATGAATTTTAGCATTTTGTTGATCCTAAATGCAAGCACTAAGGATAAAACTGTTTTTTCCTGT